CACATTATTCTAGCTGACCAATCAAAGCCTCTTGAGGGTGGGTCTTCAAAGGAACAAGGAAATATGACAGTCGTTTTCAAGGTGTATATAATCAAAGTAAGATATATGAAAAAAATAACATGATTTTCTAGAAATAAAGCATGAACCCACATTGCTTTACACCCCATAAACACAACCAAGCCTTAAAAATACACTCTGGACCACCCCTTTTGTGATTATTAATTGAAACTTTCTTTTGAGGGAGCAATTTATTTTTATTGTTAGGTAGTTATCAGCTATTGTAAGAACATTTAAATCAGGGCTGCACATCATATCATTACAGCATCGATATTGCAATGGGTGAATCTGCAATAGTCACATAGCAGGATCTGTGATGTTGATTTTAGATTGTAATTAACCAGAAAACACAGTTCAGTACAAAGTTTCATCCCAATAAAAAGAGTGAAAGATTTATTTAAGGGCATTTGTGCACTAGAAAATGTGTAGCTTTATTAAAGATTAATCATATTTAATCATTTCTACAATTAAAAAATACATTAGTCAACATTTGAAGTGCTTAAAAAAAAAAACTCCAGAATTGTCCCAAGAAAGGAATAAATGTTGTTGAATAGTTTTAGGATATATTTGAGGAAAGGTTTGATCCACTTTAAAAGTTGACTATTTTATAAAAGTATTATTTTACAATGCTAGAATTAATAAACTAATTAACTAAGTTAACAAATGTATTGTTCAACAAACAGCAAATCTCTATTTAATTAATTGAAATATGCTTATTATATTTTATGCAGACTCACTGCACAATCAATAAAAAGTCATCTAGTGAAATTATGTTCATATCGCAATATACTATGGCAGAAAAACAAAAGACTGCAATGTCAGCGTTTTCCAATAACATGCAGCCCAATTTGAAAAATATTTTTGTGAATGCTTTTGTGATGTGTAAATATATGCATAGTTAGATAAATGATAACATATTTATTATTCAAGATTTGTCAATGCACATCTTATGTCAATGACGTCTCCTACACATTTTTAAGTGCAGTCACATCACTCATCAGTTTATTGACTGTGACTGCTTAGCTTAATAAAAAAAGAACACGATCTTCTTCAATTTGCAGGATTGAATGAAGTCCATCAAATGAATTGATGACATTTGTGTTGCTGTTGTATGTGTATATTTTGCACATTTTGCACAATGTCATGTAACAAGTGCTGACACTTCTGTAGAAATTGTACATGCTCAAAGTGAAGTCTAGCCTTAATGTTCAAAGAAGAATTGACGCTAGAAAACTTTCTTCGGACACTGAGACAATTGTGATATGACATTTGTAACATGTTGAATTAAAATGAAAAACACAATCTATTCTACTTTCTGTCAAGGCTGCAGTTTTAGGTTTATGATTTAACTTATTGATCTTCTACTGGTCAGTTGGTTAATCTGCAGGTTAGAGTTCATTGAACTTGAACTTTGGAATATAACCGGATGCATGATTTATATTTCATGAGCTTGCAAATGCAATGCAAAAGTGTAGTGCAACACTAGCCAGAATATCCACCTTATCCACTCCATGTACTTCAACAGTTGAATTCAGAAGAACTGAAAGAAATCATTTTAAATATTGAGGTTTCACTAAAATAACCGGTAACACTTTACAATAAGGTTGAATTAGTTAATGTTATTACTAACATAAACAAATAATGAACAATACATTTATTACAGTATTCATTCATCTTTGCTAATGTTAGGTAATGAAAATACAGTTGTTTATTGTTAGTTCATGCTAACAATGCATTAACAAATGTTAACAGGCATGAGTTTGGATGTTAATAGTGCATTAGTTAATGTTAAACCAAGATTAATAGATGCTGTACAAGGATTGTTCTTATTAGTTAATATTAGTAAATATGTTAGCTAATGAAACTTTATTGTGAAGTATGACCAAATAATCCATATCTGTGGTAAAAACTAAATGAGAGATAGGTTATTTTTGCTTCTTGCTCTATTTTTAATGCATCATGAAATAATATTAGGCTGAATATTGCTTATTATGACATTGGTACCACAAGGATACCTCCATGACATGAGCTCTTTTGAGTCCGCCGCATTCTGCTCCAGACTACTTATTTCCCTTCTACTCTGTAAAGTACAGTAATAATCAACATGTTCATAAATTGCTGTGGAAAGACTTTTCTAGAGTTATGAGTTTATTGAATGTCACTTCCAAAATTGTTAACATAAGTTATGCAAAGCATTACACACAGAGTGAATAATAAGAGTTTTCAAGCACTGCACACTCCTGATGTGGCACTTCAATTCAGAAAAGTTAAAATGACATTAGAAGTAGATTGTTTTCAAAATGGTTACCCTTCTAAATAAATGTAACCAAAGGTAAACACATTACAGCCCTCAAATGTGACCTCCAGAATGTGCAGTCTTCAAAATGAGACAAGTTTAAGGTTTCTGAAACCCTGTTTGACAACACTCATGAATAATTCCACAACTGAAGATTTTATGTAAATACTTATAAAGAAAGGGAGTTAAAATGTATGCACAGGTTATACTTTCACATTTTTACTCTGGTCAGTATTAGCTCAGATCAGCACAGACACTGAGGGAAACAATTCCATCACAGTAATTAATCTCCCCCGTTTACATTATAAGGGTGGTCTGCCTCAGCCATCTAACAGTGCTCATCAATGTCAAAATGACAGAGACGGCCAATCAAATCAAAGTAGGCGATATTTATCAAGCACAGAAGGAGAACAGAGAACGAAACGTCTGGCTGAATAGGAGCCAGGTAAGATTAGTCTAACATTAAATCAGCCAATAATAATATAATAATTAATACAGTCGCTGATGATAAAAATAAAACGTATTGATTTTTTCCATCAAATATCTCTATTTTCAATTTAAAGTATTTGACCTGAGAATAAAGAAAACATAGCAACAATCATTTATCATTTAATAAGCTCTAAGCTTTAAATCCATCAAAAACTTTAGTCTTTGCTTAAATAAATAAATAAATAAATAAATAAATAAATAAATAAATAAATAAATAGGATGGTCACTCTTCGGTCAACTGCTAGGGGCGCCAGAGGACAATTCCTTGACGGCTGTGACTGAACTGTGTTTGCTTGTTACTGCCTTATAAGCTACACGAGGGAATATTTATCGATTCTAGTTTATCTTGATCTGAAATAAAACGACTTCAGCGTAGATTAGTTTGCTTACATCCAATTAAAATACATAAAGAATCGTCAAACACACGACACTCTGACTCTCCCCATTTGATACGTCTTGAACTTTTTAAGAGATGTCAGAGAAACTAGTCATAACGATGAACTGAGGAGGTCTCTGGGGACAGTTTTATCTTATTTCAGTTACATTGAAATGTTTTAAGTTGCCAATAAATCGAATATAAATGGAAATGGAAAATACAGTGGAAAAAGTTTTGTAGTGGCTCACACAGGATCTGGTTTTCTGCATGAATTATCTGGCGTGCTGTCTGGTTTCAAATGAATACACATCTGGGATGAGCCCCACGGGACGAAGCGTTAAAATATCATGATATATTGGAGCAATGCACACACACACATGACATGCACACACCAAAACGGATCTCTCCAAAAAAAAAAAAAAAAAAAAAAAAAAAAGGGGAAAGGACATTGTCGCCTTTTATAAACTGTACTGTAATTAAGTAAATGAATACGCGGGCCATATTTTCCACTGAGCACTGCATAATGCCATTCTCTACAATAATGCCTTAATGCCATCTGAATTAAATGAATACTCTACAGTAATTAAAGTTTATTAAAGACAGGTGGCCAGCCGTTTGTCACTGAGGACTATATGCCTCCAACTAATTACTCATAATGTTAAATATTGCATTTCTCTTTCATTTGTTGATAAAAAACACGACTTTAATATAATTTGCAGATATGAATCTCCAAATCCACAAATTAATCTAAATAAAATGAATAAAACAATGTTGATTAATTTCCACAGACGAATCAGGGATTTCGAAAAATCGGCTGATTTGGTTGATTCAATTACAGAGTTGCTAAGTGAATTAGCATCACATTTGTCATCATAATTCTGATACATCTGCGTCTAAAATGAACTTTATGAGATTATGGCTAGAAGTAGAAGTTTATTATCATCTTACTAGGCCCTAATTCATCAAGAGGTGGTCTCATTTTACATGTTCAGATCGCTTTCTCTAGCAAATATGTAATACAGTAGGTTCCATTTTGAACATGTTAAGTACAAATTTCATTTTATTGTTAATGTCTGCTGTTTTATTGCAATAGCAATTAATTATACTGGTTTGTATACTGTAATATAATTGTATCGATTTGTACTACAACGTAGACACACCATAAAAAGCTACCACATTTTTTTCTTGCTTGCAGTCCGTGGGTCTGAGTTAATTAGCAAATTGTGAGTTAATGAAAGAGAGAGGGAGAGAGAGAGAGAGAGAGAGAGAGAGAGAGAGAGAGAGAGAGAGAGAGAGAGAGAGAGAGAGTCGTGAAGGCTGGAGAGCTCCAGATGTGGCACGCGGGAGCTGTCACTTCAGCACTAATGCCACGCGCTCACGCGGCGAACTTGCAGCATGCGCTGCAGAAATCTAACGCAAATCCCCTTTTATTTTGTGAGTACATGACTTTGAACGTTTTAAAAGGTTATCATTTATATTAAACAATAAAAAAAACACATTTCCTATAATACAAATGACAATTTGTTTGAGGAGTATAAACCCAAGAGCGCGTGAAAACACGGACCTGCCAGATTTCCATCGGCACACGCGAAATATAAGCCAATACACAACAGCACACCTGTAGGTGGCGACGCGATTTATGGTTAGCCCAGGAAAACTATCTCTGTCTTATATTATTGTTCTACATTTGTTTTTTATGGTTTATTGTTCAACCAGGTTTTATAAAACAGGACCAAACCAATAGGTGCTGCCAAAAATAAATAGATGTTTGATAAAACTCACCTCTGTGCATTTCCTCTTGCTGTGATTTACCGCTGTGTCCGCCTTCGTGAGCTCTGTAGGCGAGCTTTATCTCTCCATTTTACAAATGCCAACTTTTGTTCGATCTCCTTAATCCCATTCCTCAAAAACTGAAAAGAAAAGCACCGTATTCCGTACGAAAAGCGCGCGCCTCAAGTCCGCCTGACAGGTTGTGAATGAGTTTATAATCCTGTTGAGAATAGCGTTATAAATCCACACGCAGTGTATCACCATTGAGAGGAGTCCGGAGAGAGACGCTCTTCTGAAGGAGTCTCTGGCTGAACTGAGCTCATCGCACTAAACGAGACTCATTTGAGCTTCGGGCGCTGCTCGCTTGAATGAACAGCATGTGCGCGTGCGCACTTCACAACAGTACGACGCGGAGAGCGCGGTCATGTTAAGGTGACGCGATCTGACACGGCTGTAGCATCAGGAGTATTGATTTATACGCTATTGAGGAGTTGAGTTATTTAATGTGAAAGAGTGTGCTTTTATTACCGAGAAGATGTAGGGAACGACACCCTTTTCTATTATTTTACATTTATTTAACAAACACAAATCTTCGAACTCGTATGTGAACACGAACAGATATTATAAATGTCATTACTAATGACAAGCATCTTCTAGCAGGCTATCGTCTGCTACATGTCATTGAACCAAGAAGACTTGAGATGAACACAAAGGTAATAAAGCATTTGGTCATGTTTATTTTCAATACAACATTCAAAAAGACATCTAGTGACAAACGGCAACCAAGAACATGTTGAGAGTGGTTCATTAATAATTAAAAGAAAGCACAGATGTACAACCTGTTAGGACCAATATGTACCTGTTCAGAAACAACATGTGAAAACCATCTGCAAGAATTGCATGCCAATTTACATGCTAGTCTAGTGCGCAGTTGCATTATTGGTGGTTTTACAATTGATTCTGACTCGAAACCACTTAATTAATGTGCATATATTGCACCATAACAACACCATATAAAGGTAAAGGAAATTAGCATATAAATAATTGCATGGATCAGAGCAGCTGTCAGATATTTACAGCTAAGAACAAAAGCCTTCACATTGAACATTCTTCAGCAGCTCATAATTAATTTCCAGTGTTTAAAAAAAAAAAAAACAGGTAAAAGAAATAAATATCACCACTTTGAAATAAAGGAAAAATACCTAAAGGCATCAGTGACTATGGAAAAACCACCCAGTTTAAGTATTGATAACAGTGCCTTTACAATCAGAAGGAAGACAGACACAGGGGACATTTTTAGAGGGCAGTGCATGCAGAAACAGAGCACAATGAGCAATTAGGTTGTGGAGACTTGACATCCTATAGAAGCGCTGAACTTTCCAGGGAACCATTTGGAAGTGGTTGGCACAGAGTGTTGATTGTTAAAGTAATTCTTTACCACAGAAGAGTGATTAATAACCGTTTTTGGTTCCATACAGCTAAATGTTTGATACAGTCAGTTTACAAAGGACACCTTTGTTAAAAGAGAGCCTCATTTAGCGCTTAGATTCAAAGCATTTGTTTAGTTAATGGGTTGAGTGAAGTGAAAGAACTATCACGCAGTCACATCCATACACAGAAAGGCCGACAACTAATTAAGTCCTTCAAAACACACAACACACAACACGAAACTTAAAACAAACAAGACAAAGAGAGAAAATTACTGGTTCTGTTCCTGCCTGCTTGACATTTCTCTGTTACTTTAACAGCACGGAAAGAGTTTTAAAATAACATGTTTATGCCAAACCAAAGTGGAAATAAATGGCAACACTTTCATTTCTCGCCAATGTGCAAACACTATAATGCTTTAATTCTGATGATAAACTCACATGGCAACATTTTGAGCAATGTTGATGAGAATGGTTGCTTGGCTGCTTTCCTGTTGAGAATAGGTTCCCATATTGTATCGGTTTCTCATTGGCTTAATTAATTGACCATCTGGTTGCCAATTGATGGCAACATTTCCCAAAGTTGCACAGCAACATTCCTCAAAATGTTGCCCAGTGTATCATCAGCATACGGATCATGTAAACCAAAGGTGTCCAAACTAGGTCCTGGAGGGACGGTGTCCTGCACAGTTTAGCTTAAACTTCCTTTAACACACCTGCCTGGAAATTTCTACACAGCAAAATCCTCTGAAGATAATTGACTCAGAAAGTATTTGGTCACTCTTTAAACTCATTAAAAGTTGCTCAGCAGCAGAGTTAAAGTTAATGAGTCAACGAAGGAATTAATTGAGTGATAATTAAGCACTGATAATGAATACATGCTGTTAATATGCAGAAACAAAACTACAACTGACTTCAGTCACAGCCGTAGATGAAATCAACTGAAATAAAACCCATCAAATCTCTCAAAATCTCAGCAGAGGATCATTAAGCAATTCCACAAACAGCAGCTTTACAGATTACCAACCTGTTTGCCCTTATTTCTGCCGGACTCTACAAAATTCCAAATAGTGATATTATTAAGAATTAACATTATAATTTTTTTACTACAGCAATAAAGAAACAACACTTTTTGTGTTTTGAGATGTCACCATTGAGGAGAAAAGTATGCTTCTCAACTATGGTGAGGGTGTATTTTTCTGCAGTGCATGCTGGGAACTATACTATAAATTTTGTACGATTCTCTTAATAAAAAAAAAATATACATATTAAACCATTGTTGAGATGCACATGCTGATTATTGATGTCTGTGTCTCTAAAGTGATTCAGATGCTCAGTGTGTTTAAAAACTTTATAAAACCACAGCTGAGGTCCATTCTCTTAAAAAACACTGACATTTCTCTCATATGATAAACCGTAACTTAAACATAATTTGCAAAGTTAGACATGATGCAAAGTTAACTTAACAAAAGTAATACAGGATCAGTTCATCTAATCATATTTACTGTCTTTGTACTTGTCATAGCAATCAAAGAAAAACGAATATTAGAATCAAACAGCCCAAAAAATTACAAAAGTAAATCAACCATTTTTCTCCACGATGGTGACATCGAAAAAAAAATGAATATTGTTTTTTTTTGTGGAAAATGTAAATAACTAAAACAGATAATTGTCAACAAATCTCAAATGGACTTTTGTGGACATCTGAAAGAAATAAAGTAAAACAGGTTAGTAATAAGTGAAGCTGCTGTTTGAAGTCAGCTGAAGTTTTGTGTTTCTCCTCTGTATTTCTGCATATTAACAGCAGGTGTTCGTCATCAGTGCTCGATTATCACCTAATTAATTCCTTCATCGACTCATTACCTTTAACTCTGCTGCTGAGTAACTTTTACTCAATTTAAAGAGGAACCAGATACCATCTTAACTGAGTAATTTTTACTCTGAGGACCTAGAAGGAGCTTGATTAGCTGCTTCAGGTGTGTTTAATTGTAATTGGAACTAAAATATGCAGGACACCGGCCCTCCAGGACTGAGTTTGGACACCCCTGATGTAAACAAACTCGACGGAAACATGCCACCTTCTCTTCAGATGTCAATACAGGCACGTTACTCTTCAAACAACTTGCATTTAAATAGATTGATTCCTCTGATCATTAAATGCACGAAAAATGCTCCAGTGCAGAAAAAAAAGAACCAAAATAAATAATTAAATAAACAACAAATGAAAAGCGGACCCCATCTTCTCAACGTTCACCCTCAATTCCCTCACATGGCGTCGAAATGGAAGCGATGGGCCTCTTGTCTTTTCTCCCGGTCATCAGCTTTCTGTAACACACAAACAATCAAAGCTCGCTACATGCTGTAACGTCACGGTTTTGATAGCAGGCCGAAAAAATTCGGGTCTTGCACGTTAACCTCGCCAGCGAGCTGAATGCAAACACAACACAATGGCTTTTGATGCATTGCTAGAGGAAAGGACAGACACTGAGAGAAAGAGACAGACGGAGAACTCATTACACACACAATGGCACACTTTACCACAGCGAAATACCTCTGTGTGCGATCACAGATAGAGCCAACACCACACACTTGCTGCCCGAGACTGATAATAACACACACTGCCAAGCTTGGAGAGTGTGTGTGTGTGTGTGTGTGTGTGTGTGTGTGTGCTTGGTGATTATACTGTCTCGGTGATGGCAAAAATGATGTCTATTCTCAGCTTGTGTGAGTGACTCACGCGTTGAATCCCTCTGTGGGACTCGTGTGAATTGGCTCTCCTGTTCTATAAGGGTCACCTGGATGTATTTTTAGCTTTAGGTGTGTCTTTTTTCTCTCTTAATAACTGCACGATGCTCATAAGCAAATGCCAAATCAGTTAAGGTAAAAAAGCAATGTGCCAGACAGGTATAAGAAGAGATTGCTTCCTTTTTCAAAAGGACTTTACATCTCACAGACCATGCAAAATAGCTGGAAGCTTTGACTGTGCGCTGTCAAGCCTTACGCTTTCTGCTCGGGAGCGTCCAGATGATATCTATTCGCAAGATGCACCGCTATATGTCTGATTTTTTCACATGATATGGTGCCGAGTCACATCAAACACTGCAATCCACAGGGTTTCATCGCGGTAATTGCGGGTTGTAGTGCAAGTGAAGATCTGAGATACATACCTGCGAGCTCATCCTCATTTCAGCTCCATTTAAAGTGTGTTCAGAGAGTCACAGGACAGTCACTGACTCATTGATTACTCTGTCACGAATGCTCCACTTAATTACACACTGATAAAAATAGCCTGCATGCTTCTCCGAGCTCAGGATTACTACCTAGCAAGAGTTGGAGACTGTCTGACCATTTTAAGTTCTTCCAGAAGGAGTGTGTATATAATAATAATGGTCTCTGTCAGATGATGCAATGATGCAACTTAACTTAATGTTTCCTAACAGAGTCAACGGCAATGGAAAGTTCACTTTTTCCACATACAAAAATGCCACTTGATTTCCTTCACCACATTCGGTTAGATGTGCTCTTCTACAAGCATGCCTCAAGGCGATGACAAGCTTGAACATATATTGTAAATATGTACACAGGTACCCAAGGAGCCGTAGGCAAAATAATAGAGTATCTATGTGCTGACAGGCTGACATTCATGTGACCTGCATGTATCCGCAGTCTTGTGCATGAAAGACCAGACACAGGTTGACTGTGAGGAATTTTCATTGAGATCATTGTTACGATCATTATTAAAGATCATTATTTTTACACTGCTTATTTCAAGTGCTTATTTCAAGTGCTTATATTCAAGTGCTTGTTTTGCTGTCCAGTTGACACATAATGTTTCTCATATTCGAAGGATATCTATGATATCTGCATTGTGGAAGAAGTGGACAGAACATGATAAACTTCAACACATTGCAATATAAAATACAATGTGGAGTGGTGTTTGTGAATTTTAAATTGCATAAGACTATCAAATTTTACCATGTCGTTCGAGTAAAAGTACTATCACATTGTACACACAACCTGTCAATATAAAAGTTAGATTTCAAAATTGTAAATGTAATTGCAATTGCATTTCAAATCAGAAATGATTCTATAATATTATATATTAATATATTATATATGAATAAACTATTATTTTTATTTATTTTAATTTTATTTTCTATTATATGCCCACATTCACAAAATATTAACAGCAAAATGTATACATGTGTTAAAGAGTGTACAGTGATAAAAAAGGAAACAAAGAAATTAACATAAAAAACATAAATAAATAAGTAAATATAAAGTACAATCACACTATTTCAGAGCAGTCTATACGTGGAGGTTGAAACACAATTTGTTAATGCATGACAAATATTCTGTGTTAATTTAACAGAGCTCTTTTATGTATTCCCAAAGGGGAGACCAAATCGACTAAAATCTGTCAGATTTTTTGTCATAGGTAAGTTTTTCTAATGGTACTCATGTAGCAATTTGTGATATCCACATTTTGAAAGATGGAGTCTGTGATGAAGACCAAAGTAGCAAAATAGATTTTAGCAAAATATACGAGGACAATAAATACCTATAATGCATCTTTTTTTTTTTTTTAAACAGCTTGTTCACATTAAGATTCAATAAATAAAAAGCTGGGGTCATATCAAAATTTAGCTTATGGATTTTTTTCTAGTACCTTATTTATTTTCTTCCAAAATGGCACAATTTTGTCACAGTCCCAAAAACAATGAATGAATGTACTTTTATATTTTTATTAAACAACATTATTAAGGTAATTCCACTGCAAAACATAAAAAATTAAATCATTAAACTACACTACCTGACAAAAGTCTTGTCGCCTTTCCAAGTTTTAGATACAACAGATAATAACTTGACTTCTAGTTGATCATTTGGTATCAGAAGTGGCTTATATTAAAGGCAAACTCCTCTAGAGTACACTTATTTTACCTAAATACAATATGATCATGCCTTGATTTTGAATTATTTCATTAAGACAGTAAGGTCTGACTTAGACAAAAGTTTTGTCACTTTACAGCAATAATGTACAGTAAGGAATATAAAGTCATGCTGCAGTGGAAAAATAATAAATGATAATTACTATTGTGTATGACTGCCAAGAGCTTGGAGGACAGAATCCATACATCTCTGCAATTACACAAATAACTTATTAATAAAGTCATCTGGAATGGTAAAGAAAGCGTTCTTGCAGGACTCCCAGAGTTCATAAAGATTATTTGGATTCATCTTCAATACCTCCTCTTTCATCTTACCTTAGATATGTTCAATAATGTTCATGTCTGATGATTGGGCTGGCCAATCCTGAAATACCTCGACTTTCTTTGCTTTCAGGAGTTTTAATATGGAGGCTGAAGTATGAGAAGGAGCGCTGTATATTTGCCCTCTCCTGTGGTTTGTGATGTAATGGGCAGCAAAAATGTCTTAATGCCTCAGGCTGTTGATGTTTCCATCCACTCTGCAGATCTTTTGAACGCCCCCATACTGAATGTAACCACAAATCATGATTTTTCCGTCACCAAACTTGACTGATTTCTGTGAGAATCTTGGGGTCCATGCGGGTTCCAGTCGGTCATCTGCAGTATTTGTGATGATTGAGATGCAGTTCAACAGATGATTCATCAGAAAAATCTCCTTTCTGTTACTTTTCCAAATGATCAACTAGAAGTGAAGTTATTATTTGTTGCTCTCCCAACTTGGATTAACAAGAAAACCTTTGTCAGGTAGTGTATAAAGTATGTGTACGAAAGAAAAGGTCATTTTAAGATTTGCTGAAGAACACATTAAAGACTCACTCTCCTTCGGTTTGTTCCCTTCGTTATTAGGGGTCGCAAGAATAGTGGAATGATTAGCCCACATTAAACAGCGTTATTACAATTAACTTCACGCAAACATTGAGGATAGCCTAAACATAAAAACAGGGAAAATGAACATGCTTGATTTAACTGATGGTGAACTTGTTGTTTTTTAAGGGACTGAGATGACATTACTCATGTTGAAATCAAAACCCCTTTAAAACAACTAAAAAGGGAATGACAAAAGAAACCAAGAAATTAAATGCTTTTACTTGTCATCCAGTCTTACCACGTGCCTGCAGCCCTTTCTTTAAACAAGGATGTCTACATTCAGGAAAACCAGGTGTGTTCTTGCCCCATGCAGACATGCAAATGATACAGAACACCTCAGCGCCTCATCTATCTGTGTCTTTCCTGCGACATTGAGCAGGATGAAGAGAGAAGCCGGAGGCGAAAAGGAAATACTGCATCTTATCTTCCTCTAATATTGCGCCCCTCCCACAGGGATGCAAATGGAACGGTCTGCAGAAATGGAGCGATCTGCTGAGTCCCCTCCAAATGCTATTTTCACACGCACTACAGGTTGCCCTCTCTTATCTGCTAAAGCCACTTCAATTACAAGCTGTCATGAGGGGCAATGAAGATGGAGGGCAGAGGCTCAGAGAGAGAGAGGAAAAAGGCTTTGTATATCTGATGTTTCGGGCCGCATTCGACAAGAACATGCATGCATTTTCATGAGGGGTCATTTGAGTGCTGGAGTCAATCTGTGCAACTGGACTGACAATTCCACCTCTTGGCAATGGCTTATGCTCAGACGCATGCTGAAATTTAATGCACAAACATTAACCCAAATACAGCTTCCAAACCTATATCTATAACTAGAAGTAGAGAACACTCCCAGAGTGCTGTTTTATTTGGATTGTGAGAAGCTGCGATAATTGCAAAACAGGCCCATTGGAAATACGTGCTTCAGTCTACATTTCAGTCTACATTTCAGCTGTACGCAAAAAGTACACCTGACTTCAGTTTCTAGGTAAAACGAACACTACAGAACATGATGACGCCAATTGCCTTTTGATCCCGTCACAGTGACAGACAAGTCTTCACATTGATCCAATCGGCCAGCATGACCTACTCACACCTGCAGTTCTCCACAATGAACGTCCAATGTTCTCTAGCCTCTGCCACCCAGACTAAAGCTCTGCACAGCAAGTTTGGCCAGAGGAGAAATGATCATGCCCAATTGAACCTGGTTTCTCTCAAGGTGTTTTATCCCTTCACTTTCGTCAATTGGTGAAGTTTGTTCCTCGCCACTGGCTTGCTTGGTTTAGGACTTGGAGCTGCACATTGATGAATTTGCTCTTCAGTGTTTGGACTTTCAGCAGTAAAAATTAAACCACACTGAGCTAAACTAAACTGAACTTCAACTCTGAAAACTGCACTGACATAGCTTTAATTTACTAGAACTTCTATGTTAAGCGGCTCTGACACAATCTACATTGTAAAAGCGCTATAGAAATA